AGACCACCAATTGAGTTGTGAATCAAGCATCAAACGCCACGGGACGGCTTTAGGCTCCCCCATAGCAGAGTACCTGTAGTACTCTAAATCGTTTCTCCCTTTGTTTTTTTAAACGCAGGCACATGGGGCGGCTTTATACTCTCCCAATGTACCTCGTACTTTGAATGTTAATAACTGTTACTAAACAAACAGCTTTTCCTTCCGTATTAGCGTTCAATAACCAAATTAGAGACGGCTCACTGCTCTCCCATAGTTAAGTGCGAAGTACTCGAAATCATTAACCCCTTTCTTTATACACAGTTATGAAAACTCAAGTTCCGCGCGTCCCGTGGCCATTTTTTGGGAACCGCAGGGTGAGCCTTCGTCAGACAAGGCACCTCTTGAGGAAGGCGTCTCAGATGGGAATATTGCATCTGACCCTCCTCACGTGACTGCTCAGTCAACCACAAATTCAGATGTCATCGAGGAGGCTACATCCCAAAACGACCACTCCTGCATCTACGACGACTCCAACAGCACTACGAGTAAGGCGCCCCTACAAATCGATGAACCCACTAGTCCCAGTGAAATAAGCCAGGGCAGTGTAGACGCCTTCGTACCTTCCTCAATCAAGAGCCCGCACACCGAACGCCACCGGACATCTACTGGTGACTCAGAAGCCCCCACCAGAGACAGAAGTCCCCTGCGGACTTCGACGTGGTCCCAGAAGTCCCGAGCCTCCGGTGGATCGCCTGGACGTGAAAACTTACTCAGCCGCTCACAACACACCGGCTCTTGCGCCTGCTTAAGGTACCCTTGATTCTAGATGATCTTATATTAAATGCGAAGCATTTTTTAGCAAACTTCGGCGGCTTTGAGCGTATCTATCTATTTATCTATCTATCTATCTATCTATCTATCTATCTATCTATCTATCTATCTATCTATCTATCTATTTATCTATCTATCTATCTATCTATCAATATATCTATCTATCTATCTATCTATTTATCTATCTATCTATCTATCTATCTATCTATCTATTTATCTATCTATCTATCCATCTATCTATTCGCCTACGACTTTTAGCTCTCCTCGCCGTTCTTATAATGGTATCAATACTAAACTTGGTATGGCATAACGTGATTGCATGAAGAACACATTTACCTAGTCATAACATGAAAATCATGACAGGTATGTCATGAATGTCATGATCTACATTTGATGCTCCTGATGCTCTTGCGGTAAATTCATTAACATGACATGTTGAAAAGCTGGTTTGGTATGACATGATTGGATGACGAAGACAAACGACAGATCCTAACATGAAAATCAAGACATGCGTGTCATGTAACAACATGACTACATGCCACGCTCATGATGCGCTGATGGCCGTTTCGCTAGCTTCACTTATACAAAATTTGGTATTACGGGACGTGAATGGATGACGAAAGTATGATACTGGTGCAAATATGATAAACATGAGATAAGTGTCATGTAACAACAAGACTACATGCCTCACTGATGATGCCCTCACGGTCGTTTCACTAGCTTCACATATGCCAAATTCAGTATTACGTGACGTCAATAGATAGCGAAGGTATGTGACTGGTACAAGCATGATAATCATGAGATGCGTTTTATGTGAGAACATGACTACATGCCACAGTCAAGGCACCAATGCATTTAGACGTTACGCAGTGCGCATGCTCGCCGGCGGTCATTTCGTCGCGTCAAGCCAGCGTTGCCACGCCAGGAGCGGGTCCTGCAATATACTCGCTTGCACGCGACGCACTGCGTTGCTTTGACGCATGCGCGTTTCAGCACGTCCGGCGTCCCTCCATCGCGAAAACAGGGAGACGCAGGGTTGTCTGAGTAACGCATCGGCGCGAAACGCAGCACAGGGCATTTCGCGCCGGTAGCCGTCAGGCCACGCAGACGGACGCTGGTCGCGCCAGTCAAGCCTGCGTCAGACTATAGAGTGCTCGCGTTTTGCTAAGGTAGTGTCGCTGTACCCAGCGTGCGCTGGCGTCGATGCTACATTGGACTATATTGGGACTTTCGTGTTGCGCTCGCAGCCGTTTTGCTAGCTCCACATATACCAAATTTAGAGATACGTGACGTCAACGCATGGTGAAATATATGTATGGTGCAAACATGATAATCCTGACACGCGCATCATGTAAGAGCATGACAACATACCGCGCACATAGCGTGCTTGTGGCCGTTTCGCTAGCTCCACATATACTAAATTTGGTATCACGTGACGTGAATAGATGACAAAGGTAAACGACACGTCCAAACATGATAATTAAGACACGGAAGTCATATACGGCATCATTCATCTCCACCTTATTGCGTAGTGCTCATCTTATTGTGACATATCAACCTTTCACATTCATGCTTCGCATATTATCGAATCCCACTGTATGTGGAATCTGCCCATTTTTTATGTTTTATTTTGTTCGTGGTTTTTACTCTAAACGTTATTACTTTTAAAGTTCAAGGTTTCCGCAATCCACAACAACAGGCTGAGGTATTGGCTCTCGCGCGTTCAGTGCACTGTGATTGGCTGTTCTTGCAAAAAAGAAATTTAAGGGGAAAAGCTTCTTATAGCGACACCCGTTCGTCCCTCGTAGCCGTTGTAGTATGTCACATAGTATAACACTTTGATTTCCAAGGTGATGCCAGGGAGATTTCTTCTGTGCGTTGTTGAACAATAAAAAATTGTGCTCAATGTACATGCCATTAGCTGCTAATGGGGAATGAGAGACAGGAGCATTCGGCTTTTAGTTAACGCGCACGCTGCGATCCCCATTAGCAGCCATTGGCATGTACATTGAGCACTATCTGACAAGAAAGGGTTGCCAAATTATACTCGCAGGGAGTAACCTCCTTAGCTTTAGAAAGGTTTAGCGAGCGTTGAGCCGCCGTGCCATGAATACAATGAACTAGTATACACCATGAACTCGAGGTGTTTAGAGGGGTCGTGAAACGCCCACTCTAAAGCGACAATGCGAAGCCACCGGCGTCCACATGCACTAACTGGGTGACGTCATCATAAGTAATTCTTCGCCTATCGAGGAACGCCAGACGTTTGGGTACTTGCGTTCATGCAACTGGGATACTCGTCAGCGTCTTGGTCATACGCAATCAGCGCTATATTGAACTCTGACGTCATATTAAGCAGCGTCCTTGTGGGACGCGGATCACGTATGGCAGACGCCGATGAGCACTTTTTGCGCGTGCCCAATATGCCATAGAGTTCAGTGTTTCTAGATAGGCAACTGAGCGTCTAGGCAGGTCCACTCTGGCTGATCATACAGTTAGCGCATGTGGCTGCCGATGGTGCCGCAGTGTCGTTGTAAATCAACCGTTTCACGACCCCTTTAAAGATGGAAAGTAAATACGAAGCGCAAGCCGTAAGAAATTAAAAGCCGAATTCTCCTGTCTCTCATTCCTCATTAGCAGCTATTGGCATGTGCATTGAGCACTATCTGACAGGAAAGGGTTGCTGCGTTATACTCGCTGGGCGTAACCTCCTTGATTTTAGAAAGGTTTAGCCAGCGTTGGTCCGCAGTGTCATGAATACAGTGAACTAGTATATACCATGAACTCGAGGTGATTAAAGATGGGAAGTAGACCCGTAGCGGAAGCCGTAAGAAAGTGTGCGTGAGCCACTTCTCGTTTAGTCCTTGGAATGTCCGCTGGATGACGGTGCTTCTATAGGGGGAATATATGATGAAAAGATGCGAGATGGTGGTACTTGGTGATATATCGTAGATTATCAGGTGCACGCGCCGAAGAATATACCGATAACACGTGCCTCCACCCCTCGCCACGGCGCATGCTCCGGCCTCGGGCCAGGGTATTAAAACCAAGACAGCAGCCTCGTGAATAAACATTGTTCCTTCTTGTTCTGGCCATGCATCGTCTTATTCTTCGCCCTTACGATACTACAGTGGCGACGAGAATGGGATCCGGTTAATTGCACTCCGACGCTGAGACCAGAAGAATGGGATCCCGACCCCCTGCCTTCGACGACGCCGAGAGTAGCTGGAGCACGTATCGTGTCCGGTTGGAAGCCTACTTTGAGGGCAACGATATTACCGACGTAGCGAAACGCCGGGCCCTACTGGTTTCATCGTTGAGCGACAGTGCCGTCCGGATATTGCAAGGGCACCAGCCGGGGGTCGCCATCAACTCCTTGACGTACGATGACGTTGTGAAATGCTTGGAAGAACATTTCAACCCTCAGGCAAATGAAATAGCAGCAAGCTATTCTTTCTTTATGCGAAAACAAGATGAGCAAGAAAGCGTCCGGGACTACATTGCTGAACTGAGAAGACTGGCCGTAAATTGTAATTTCGGGGCAACACTGGACCGTATGTTGCGGGACCGAATCGTTTGTGGGATTCGGGATGAGGAAACGCGCCGGTGCCTGCTGGGCCGCAAGAACTTGACTCGTGAAGAAGCCGAAGAATTCGCCTTAGCTTCTGAGAAAGCGAACGAAGACGCTCGGGGCATGCGTACTTCATACGCCCGGACCGAAGGTGGCGGCGTCAACGTGATACAGCAACAAGGCAGACAGTGGAGGAAGAATTGCAGCCTTTCATGCGACAGATGCAAAGGGGCGCATGCAACGGCGTCCTGTCGACATCGCAGATCCATATGCCATCAATGTGGTAAAAGAGGGCATCTTGCTAGGGCTTGCAAAAGACCCCACACCCCCAGGTCAGGAACGTTTGCTGTCGACGGAACCGAATGTGAAAGCGAAGAAGAGAGGTTGTATGCTCTCGTTGCACACAGTTCCGCCAATAAGCACTTGGTGCAGCCAATCGAGCGCACCTTAACGTGGGAAGGCCGTAGGCTGCGAATGATTGTCGATACTGGATCACCAGTAAGCGTGATTCCCAAAAGCTTGTACAAGAAGCATCGCAAGTGGTGGCCGGCTCTGCAAAAAAACTCCACTACGCCTTTCATGTTTCATGGGACCGTTGCCGGTCGTCGGCAAGGTAGACATGCAGGTACAGCTTGGACCAGTAACGGTGAGCAGTTCGCTGATAGTAGTGGACCATCGAGGGCCCCTTTTGTGCGGAAGGGACACGATAGAGGAATTTCGCAAAGCAGGCATGTTGCTAGTAGAAGGCACGTCGTCTTCGGTGAATGTTGTTCACGCCGACAGCCAGCTAACCGCACTTCTTGACGAGTTTCCGGACCTCTTTGAGAACCTCGGATGCTGTAAGGGACCACCGGTGAAGCTGTACCTCAAGGAAAGTGCGCAACCTCGATTTCTAAAGGCTCGGACAGTCCCGTATTCCATGAGAGCGCAAGTCTCCGCCGAAATTGACCGACTGGTGGAAGTGGGCGTGCTGTCCCCAGTGAGCGTGGCTGAATGGGCAACACCGGTCGTGCCCGTAGTAAAGAATAACGGAGACATCCGGCTGTGTGGGGACTTTAAGCTAACAGTTAATCCAGCGACAAGAACAGAGCAGTACCCGCTTCCGAAAATTGACGACATCTTTGCGGCGCTATCAGGAGGCGAAGTGTTCAGCACACTCGACTTACGAAACGCATACAACCAGCTTTCCCTGGATGATGATGCTAAGAAGATAACTGTGTTGAATACACACAAAGGCCTCTTCTGATACAACCGCTTGGCTTTTGGCATTGACTCAGCGCCTGCGCTGTTTCAGCGGCGCATAGAAGCCGTGCTGCAGGGTATACCAGGGGTGAAAGTTTACCTGGACGACATTATTGTAGCAGAAAAAGAGTATGACACAACGATACTGCGGCAAGTGTTCGAACGACTTCGGGCGAACGGCCTAACACTGAACAAGGAGAAGTGCCACTTCCGGGAGAAAGAAGTGGTATTTCTAGGGCACCGAATCGATGCAAAAGGCCTCCACCCGCTGCAGGACAATTTGGAAGCAGTGCTAGCGGCACCGCCACCGACTTCGGTAAGCCAGCTTAAATCATTCTTAGGACTGGTCACATACTATTCCAAATTTCTACCGAACTTGTCGTCCATTTTGGCCCCGTTACACCGACTCTTGTCTAAAGGAGCACTGTGGTGTTGGGGGCCCGCACAGAGAACAGCATTCCAAGAAACCAAGCGCGCCATGAGAAGGGCGAACTTTCTTGTGCATTACGACCCCCAAAGACCCTTGCGGCTTGAGTGTCATGCGTCGGCCGAGGGTATAGGCGCAGTTTTGTCGCACCGCATACAAGGACTGGATCATCCCATAGCGTTCCGCTCGAGAACTCTAACGTCGGCGGAACGTAATTATTCACAATTGGAAAAGGAGGCACTAGCGCTGGTCTTCGGCGTTGTAAAATTTCGAGATTATTTGTTTGGCAATAAGTTCACTCTGGTGACCGATCACAAGCCTCTGACTGGTTTGCTAGGTCCAGATAAACCCATTCCGCAAATGGCAGCGGCCCGCATTCAACGTTGGGCGCTGCTCTTAGCAGCTTATCAATACGACTTGGAATACAGAAAAGGAGAGCTAAATGCAAATGCCGACGCTCTAAGCCGGTTGCCATTACCGGTTCGCGATAATGGCTGGGAAAATGAACTAGCCGAATATGTCCTGCATGCGCAGGCTATGGATGATTTTGTTTTGTCTGCGCAGAGTATTTCAGACCACACCAGCAAAGATGACGTACTTCAGCAAGTGAAGACTTGGATCTTGCAAGGCTGGCCAAGGCGTCTCGGTTCAGAGGAACAGCAGTACCAACCGTATTTTGCACGGAGGCATGAATTGGCCGTGGGTAACGGGATACTCTACTGGGGCCACCGTGTTGTTCTGCCTAAAGCTGCCCGGCAATTTGTTTTGAAAGAGTTGCACGATACGCACCCAGGCATGACGGCAATGAAGAACCTCGCGCGCTCAATTTTCTGGTACCCAGGGCTAGACGGTGAAATTGAAATGCTTGCAAAACGGTGTCCCCAATGCGTGCAGTGTTTGCCCATGCCCCCAGCGCAGGTCCCGGCAAACTGGCCAAAGAACAACAGACGGTGGTACCGCCTACACGTGGATTTTGCTGGTCCCGTGGAAGGGCATATTATCTTCGTCCTCGTCGACGCCGAGACTAAGTGGATCGAAGCAGTGCCCTTGAAGACGGCGACAGCAGCGACTACGGTAGACACACTTAGGTGCATTTTCGCGCGATTTGGCATACCACGGACTGTCGTGTCGGATAATGGTCCACAATTCACCAGTGCAGAGACAGCGCGGTTCTTCCGGGAAAATGGGGTGCGCCACGTAACGACGGCCCCATACTACCCGCAATCCAACGGTTTGGCGGAACGGGCAGTACGCACCATCAAGGAGGGCCTGAAGAAAAATCGGGTGGGAACGCTGCAAAGTCGGCTTGCTAAATTTTTGTTGCGTTACAGGACAACACCGACCCGAGAGGAGCAGTCGCCCACGGAAAGGCTTTTTGGATTCCAACCACGGACCCGCCTGAGCACCTACCTGGCAGAGGAAGACGGGGCGAAGAGGGAGGCTACCGTCAACGGAGTTCCGAACTCTGGAAAGAAAGAGTTTGCACCAGGAAGGGAGGTGTGGAGTCGACAGTACAGTCAGCTAGGTCAAAGGTGGCTACCCGGAACCGTGACAACAGTCGAAGGCAAGCGATTGTTAACCGTTAACACGCCAAGGGGGGTGCAACGTAGACACGTCGATCAAGTACGACCACGCGACTCGTCGACACCGGTTAAGAAAGAACCGTGCGAAACGCCAATGGCCATGGAGCAATTGCCACTCTCATCCAGCGGCATCCAGTCAACTAGCAGCGAAGCCCTTCAGGCCGGTCTGTCCGGCCTGAAGGGCTTCGAGCCAGCAAGTCCAAGGTCCACGGCAGAACCACTCCCACTCCGACGCTCCACCCGTGCCCGCAAGCCGCCGGATAGGTTTTAGCTCAGAGGGGAGGAAGTGATATATCGTAGATTATCAGGTGCACGCGCCGAAGAATATACCGATAACACGTGCCTCCACCCCTCGCCACGGCGCATGCTCCGGCCTCGGGCCAGGGTATTAAAACCAAGACAGCAGCCTCGTGAATAGACATTGTTCCTTCTTTTCCTGACCATGCATCGTCTTATTCTTCGCCCTTACGATACTACACTTGGAGTGTTGAATTAATGGATGAACGGACACACAGGCAGATGCATGGATGGACGCATGAACGGACGCAGGGAGTGGGGGGCAAGCAGCTCAATCACTTGTTACGACCAGTTGACCCTCCAGAAGCGCGGGGCATCTGGGGCCGCGTTGAAGTCCGCAGGGGACTTTTGTCTCTGCAGAAGCCTTCAAGTCACTGCTGGATATTTGGTGGCACTTGGCTCCGAGGCTCTTGAGCGAAGATGATACAAACGCATCTAGACTGTCCCGGCTAATGTTGCTTGAAGCGCTATCGTCGTCTATCTGCAGGACCGTGTCACTTGCAGTGCTGTTTGAGTCCTCGTTGATGGAAACGTCGTCACCTTGAGACAAAACATCTTCAACGATAGGAGTACTAACAGAGGACTGGGCAGCCATGGGGAATGGAATGGAATGAAGAAACTTGATTTCAGTCCTGCAGGACGCGCTTAGCGCGTAGCGGGCGTCTCCCACGTAGGAACCGACAGGGAGTACTTGGTGGCCGTTTCGTGGGCCTCTTGGATGACCCATTGCTGGTTGGCGAGAAGTGAGCTCCTGAGGAACCTCTACCACTTGCTTGAGGTAGGGTCGGGAGCAGTTGTTCTACACTCCCAGTGCATGTGTGCGAGTGTCACTGTGTGTACACATGACGGGCATGTGTCGCTGCGGTATGCATGAGGATAATAAACGTGAAGCGTGGCAAGGTTTGGGTACCTGTGTGTCTGTACAGGCGTAGGGTTATTGTCTGCGGTCTGTTCATTTTCGGATGTGGGGGTGGAAAAATGCGGCGTTCCAGGTAAAAGTGCTTTGTTATGTCATTGTACGTAACGGGTGCATCCCGATTGGTATCTAACTCAGCAAGATGGGGTTGCCCTGTGGCGGTGCGGTCGGTAAGTGCGCGCGCTGCATCATGGGCGATCTCGTTGAGGTTAGATAGGGCACCCGGCACCTGGCCGAAATAAGCGGGGAACCATATGACAGTGTGGTGCTTCAGGGTGATCGGGTCCGCTTTCCGCAGAATACGTAACGCCTGGACGGAGTTGACTCCGCGTTCGAAGGCTTTGATGGCTGTAGATGAATTCCCGTTCGCTGTCGAGCATATCTATAGCTATAGCTACTTTCTCCGCTACTTCGGGGTTTCGGTTGAGGATTTTGGCAGAGTTACGAGTCTGCTGCGCGGATGATACCGCGACCGCGGCGAAGGCTTTGTTGTTGTGATAGGAAGTGGCGTCCACGAACAAGACGTTGCCCGCTTCCATGTCTATGCGCTTGAGAATGGCGGTCGCCCGCGCAAGGCGCCTGCGTATGTTGTATTCGGGGTGTACATTTCGTGGAATGGGAGCGATCGTGATAAGGTCGCGGATTTCACGGGGAATTGGAGTCAACTCTGGGGGGTCCTTGGCCCTCAAGGAGAAGAAGCCAAGCTCGCGCAGAATATGGTGGCCTGCCTTGGTGGTGGTGAGTCGGGTCAATTGCACGCGTTCCTGAGCTTCGGCGATCTCTTCTAGTGGGTTATGCACGCCAAGCTCGCGGAGTTTTAACGTTGGAGTGGTGATAGGGAGGCCAAGGGCTCGTTTGAACACCTTGCGAGTAAGCGCATTGAATTGATCGCGCTCAGCACGTAGCCATTCGTGTATAGCAGCAACGTAGGTAAAATGACATAAAACAAACGCATGTACGAGACGCAGCAGGTTGTCTTCTTTGAGGGCATGGTGCTTGTTGGCTACTCTACGTACGAGTCGTATGGCATTCTCAGTCTTAGTCCTGAGCTTTTGTACTGTTTGGGTGTTGGTTCCGTGGTACTCGATGATCATGCCGAGTACCTTGATGGTGTCTACCCTTAGTACAGTACGACCATCTCTGGTGTGGAGGGTGATATTGCGTTCCGCCGGAGGTTTCCACCCTTTGAACTTGGCACCTCGCCATTTGGGCAATTATATCAACAGCTCCGACTTCGCGGGTGAGCACCTGAGACCGGTGTGGTCGTGGTAGGACTCGGTGGTGTCGATAGCCCCTTGCAGGGCTGACTCAATGAATCCATCTGACCCTGTGGAGCACAATATGGTTACATTCCTGGCATAGATAGTGTGATTTAGCCCGTCGATTTTGGAAAGTCGTTCGAAAAGCCCGATCATCACGAGGTTGAAGAGCGTGGGTGAAAGGACGGATCCCTGAGGAGTGCCCCGCTGTCCGAGCTCCACTTCTTCCGACACTAGGTCTCCTACGCGGAGGACGGCTCTGAGTCGAGTGAGAAAAGAGCGGATAAAGTAGTAAAATCGATGACCTAGGGCGAGGGCTGCGATCGCTTTCAAGATTGACGAGTGCGTTACTGTATCGAAGGCCTTTTCTAAGTCGAGACCGAGTATTTCACGAGTGTCTGGAGTGTTTCCACCATCTAGAATTTCATGATTTAGAAGTAACATGGCGTCTTGAGTGGATATATCCCTGGTCAGAAGCCAATCATGTGTTGCGGGATGCAGTCGTAATCTTCCAGGTATCGACATACCCTGTTGAGGACGACGTGCTCAACCACATCGCCCACGCACGACGTGAGAGATATGGGGCGTAGGTTATCTAGGCTTGGCGCCTTTCCCGGTTTGGGTATGAGAACCGTGTGACCTAGTTTCCAGGCATGGGGTATCTCACCCTTTTTCCTTATTTTGTTGATAGTGTCGGTGAGGTAAGTGGCGGAGGGATCATCCACGTTGCGTAGGAGCTTGTTGGTGATGCCGTCGGGACCAGCGGTGGAGCCGCCTTTGAGCTCATGGAGAGCTCGGCGCAGATCTTCAATAGAAAATTTGGCGTCTAAGTCGGTGTCGTCGCTGCCAGAAAAATCGGGGTGAGGGGTCACAGGGCCCAAAGGAAGCGGGAGATATTTTTCCATGAGGTTCTTGACAACATCTTCCGGTGACACTGTCCGTTTATCTTGATGAAGTAACTTCATGATCGAATGACGCTGATTTGTGCGAGTGTTGGTTTCATAGAGGAAGTGTTTGAGTAAGTTCCACGTTTTGCCATTACGAACCTGACCATCAATCGAGTTACGAATTTCGTCTCACTGCTGTTTTGAAAGGGTGTGGCAGTGATCCATCATGGTCTTGTTCAGCTGAGATATGCGTTTGCGTAACCTCCGATTAAGGCGCTGGCCCTTCCATCGGGCCAATAGAGACTGTTTGGCCTAGAGTAGGTGGGTGTCACGGACGGCTATTTTCGGCGACCCCGCGTCACGGTAATTAACGGGCGCCGTACTCCCCGACTGACCGTGAGAAACGGCGGCACATGAAAGGGAACCGATAAGTGCAAAATGGTGTGCTCTCCTTAGAACGTCGCCGCCGACAGTTAATCCTTTTGTAACTGTGGCGACGTCTGCAAGGTCGTAGAAGGCCGCGGTATACCCCGAACAAGGATTAGACTACGAGACGCCCGGCTGAGAGCTAAGTGGTTGACCGTTCCCACGGGGAAAAGCGTGGGAAACGCTCTGGTGGCCAAGCCGTATGACAACAACCCGACAGGTTGTCACTCTCGCTAATTGCGGGCCCTCTCCCAATTAAAAAGGGGTGGGGTCAAAATATTTTTGGGGCGGAGTTTCCCCTCAATTAAACGCGCATGATTGGACCCAGGTAGAGGTCTCTTGTCCCCAAGGAAGAGAGCGAGGAGACACGAGGGGGATTTAAGCGCAGAATTTTGCCCTGCTAGGCAGACTAGTCGCTGAACAAGATGGTGTAGAAACAGATCAACAAGCATCTCTTCTAGAAGTTTTTAGTGTGGCTCTGTATCGGCTGGCCACCTAAACTTAGCCGTTCGTCTAGTTGTGACGCGATATTAACGTCTGCAACGTAGACATCGGGACTTCGCCTAGAGTTAGCTCAACCTGCTCGAAGTCACCTGCAAGCACTAGCCTCCCGGAGCCACCAGCATTGCAACACCGCCGACATCGCAGTCGTGCCAGAACTCTCTTCGACTTCTCGCATCCGATCGTCAGGGACACAACGCTGCCGGTCATCACACGTATGCCTTCACCTGTTTATATCTTCGAACTTTCTCCTTTGTAGTTCTGTTGTGTTAGTTTGTGTAGTTTGCACATAGTTCTCTCGCGTAAGCTGATTTATTGGTTTTATATGTATTTGTATCAAGTGTTGATGTAATCGTTAGCTGTATTGAAGTGTTGTATTAGATCCCGTGTGCTGCAATACCACTCGAGTAAAGTTTTTTTGTTTTCTCACGTCTCTGATGTCTTCACTGTCTCTGCTTGCGTGCGGAACGAACCAAACTTCTGTCATTCCCGTCGCTGACTTCGCGCTGGCGACGCTAGAGTGGCAGCTTGTAACAAAACTGGCGTCCGCGAGACAGGACGTTCCGTACAAGAGTAATACGGTGAGGGGTGAACGAGAACCGTGTGGACAGCGTGGTGATAGAGCCGCACAGTTGAAGCGGTTGCAGCCTGCATAATATTGCGCTGGTTTTATAGTGGCATTATAGTGACAGTTTGCAGTATGGAGTGTATGAATTTGGATAAGTGGATCGCGCACGGTAAACAGTTAGGCCTCGAGGGCGCCGAACTGAGACAATGGGTTGAGGAGCAGCAGGAACAGGCACAGGCGTTAGCCAGAGAAGAGCAGGCACTGGCCCGGGAGGAAAAAGAAAGGGAGAGAGAAGGGGAGGAAAAGGAAAAAGAAAGGGAGAGAGAACGCGAAGAAAAGGAGAGAGAGCGCGTTGAAAGGGAGAAAGAACGAGAAGCGGCAAGGGAAGTGGCTAGGGAAGCCGGAGAACGGGAAGTG